CGTCATACTCTGGAGCACCCGCCCCAGTCAGTCAGAGACCACAGAGGACGCATGCGCAGAACAGGCGCGGGCCAGCGGCCACTCGGGATTATGGGCATCTGCACAGCGTTCACAGTCTCGGAAAGGCTTAGCTCCCTCGTAGCTGTGAGCAGATCCCTGGCAGCGACTTGTTTAGGATTAGCCCCGAAGAGAAATAAGAGAAGCAACCCTCCAGTAACCAGCGTGTTTCCGTCTCGAACCACTTACTTCCGGTTCATCAGCCGGTTCCGGTCTCCGTTCTTTACTTCCGGTCGCCTTCAATTCCGTTGCGGCCAGTTCCTGCGTCTGCTATATCCGCTCCGCTGGGCTCCAGGTGAGGGGACGTGGGGTACCCCCGCACGCTGCTGGCAGATATGCTTTTGGGGCTGGAGTGTAGCAGCTTTGGCTTCCTCTCTGCGTGGCTTCCACTGCGGCCGAAGGCGGCGGACTGCAGGCCACCTAGGGCGCTCCGGACCGCTACGGTCCTGGTCCGCAGTTCAGGCCCTTGACCCCAGCCCTCTAGTCGCCAGTCCTCCGCACTCCCATTTGGCCTTCTCGTCTGTATCGACGGCTTCCCGCGCCCCAGTGGGTTTTGAACCCCGAACTTTATTTTTCCCTTTTCTCGAATTTCTCTGTTAGCCTCCCTGTTAAAGGCATCCTGGCTCCCGGCCTTCGGAGCCTCTACCTGCCATCTGATGCTGCCCCATACTAGTCACTTCACACAGTTCTCTCTTGCCTATCACGTCACACTTACTACTGCTGAGCTGTCCTGGCTGGGAGTTGTCATTACTTTCCCCTTACCTTTTACTGTTGTTGTTGCTATGTGCAGTCGAGTCGGAACCGATTCATAGCGACCCCTCCTTGGGTTTCCGAGGCAGTATCACTACGGAAGTAGATTGCCCCATCTTGTTGAAAAGTTAACCCTGTTTCTGTCAATTCCTGAGATAATTAGTTTTGCTGCAATTTCACATTTTTTCCTCTGCCACTATCTAATTGTGTGGTATTGGGGAAGTTGTGTAATTTCTGCAATTAACTTAAGAGGACTGTAGTTGTCAGTTCAGTATTGTGAAGAGTGTACAAAGTAATCAAAACTGTTTAACGTGCTATTATTTCTACCAATTTCAACGATCATATTGCTCTTTACAGTGTACATTGCTGTCACAGGTGTTATCTCATGCTATACAACACTATTCTTGTCAAATACATATTGAGAGCCACATCTTGTGGATGAGAAGATTAAGTCACAGAGACAGGAATTGAGGAATTGGTTAAGCAAAGTCACACAGTATGTTAAGCAGAAGAGAAATGAACCCAAACAACTCTTCTTGGTTTACCCTAGGTGTGGGCCCATATGATGAAAAATGTAAGCTTGAGTGGTGTACTCATTGTTTAGGTTTGATTGCCACCTCTTCCCAGTAATTTTTCAATTGATAAGTCTGATAGGTTGCATATCAGTACAGGATATTACAGTAGTGAGGAAGAAAGAAAAAACGTGAAGACATAATATGACTCAAGTGTTTGTATTGTAGGAGCTTTGGTGGCACTGTGATTAAAGCATTGGGCTAACAAAAGGTTGATGGTTCAAATCCACCAGCCATTCTCCGGGAGAAAAATGAGGCAGTCTGTTTCCATAGATTTACAGTGTTGGAAACCCTGTGGGGCAATTCTGCTGTGCCCTATAGGTTCCCTATGAGTTGGAAACAGTGTCAGTGAGGGTTTGGTATTTGTATTGTGCTGCTCCGTTGGCGTGAATGATCTGAATATTGAAGAGATGTGATTATGTAACTTCTAAAAACAGGCCTTAATGCATTTAAAGTTACTGTAATTTGTTGTGCTTGGTCCTTTAGAGCGTTGCCAGCTTGGAATGTCCACTTGTGGCATAGGTAATTTATAATACCTGAAAACTGCTCTATTAAACATGTAGGTCCCATGCCATTTGGCACATTTTGTTTTTTTTTAAAGCTGAGAAAACTGAAGAGCTTAGAGTGGTGGCTCTCAAACTTTATTGTGCATCACAATTACCTTGGAGACTTGTTAAAACACAAATTTCTAGCTTCCTTCCTTCCACCACCATATACATTTTTTTTTAACCTCTAAGATCCACATTTATTTATAAGAATGGCAAGACAGGTCTCAGAGGGAATAAACCAAGAATTGTTTTCCCTTTGTCTCTCTCTCTTATCAGTTAGGATGCATTTGGCTGCAGGTAACAGAAAGCCCAACCAAAGGAGGCTTAAATTTAAAGGACAATTATCTCTATCAACAGGAACCCACAGGTATAATGATTCCAGGTTGGCTCTATTGGTGCCTCAGAGATAATCATTAAGTACCTAGGTTCTCCCTACCTTTATGCTCTGCCATCCTCAGCAGTTGACTTGTTCTCTTTTGGTCCCTTCCAGGTCTAGTATGGCTGCTGCACTTCCAGGTGTCATGAACAAACAACATCCAGAAGTATGAAAGGCCTAGATACATTTCTAACTAGTTCCCAAGTAATGTCATACTAGTTCCCAAGGACCACACTTTGAGAACCACTGGGCTAAATATGAAATGACTTGTCCAAGCTCACCTGGAACTCATGTAATTTTACTCCAAACTCTGCTCTGCCCTTCATACCATATACTGTATTAGTGCTGATTACGTTCTTATCTCTTGTAAACTATTTTCATTCCCACAGAAAAATATTGAATCATATTTTATATTTGACTCAAAAGGTATCCCCTCCCCCCGGTACAATATCGGTTAGAGTAAGTTGTCTGTGGAATGGAATGCATTGCCCTAAATTAACACACTTGCTTTAAATTTTCAGGACAGCAGTTTGTAAACATTAAAGAGTTAATATAAGTGAATATATGCACCCTCTTCTAATAGAATATATGGAGACATTTTGTTTCCAAGTGTTTTTGTGTATTGAGATTCAAAGTTTGCTTTCTTTTTTGCAGTTTGTCTTAATACATGAAGAGTGCAGGCAAATGTTTCACTAAATAAGTGAAAGCGTTTGGAAATACCAGTACTTCTCGATGAGAAAATCCAGTTCTTTGACCTGTAGGGAAAATGAGCTTGTATAAATGGCCCAGTCCTGTACCATCCTCATAATCTACTGTGTTGCTCCGTCTCATTGAGGGTCTTCCCCCACTTTCTCTGACCCTCCGTTTTACCAAGCATGATATACTTCTCCAGGGAATGGTCCCTTCTGATCACATGACCAAAGTGCGTAAGATAAGTCTGGTCATTCTCACTTCTAAGGAACATTCTGCTGCACTTCTTCCAGGATACATTTGTTCATTCTTCTGGCAGACCATGATATTTTCAGTATTCTCTGTCAATACCACAATTCAAAGGAATCAGTTCTTTGGTCTCCCTTATTCATTGTCCAGTTTTCACATCCATGTAAGGTGATTGAAAATACCATGGCTTGGGTTACAAGCACCTTAGTCTTCAAAGTGATGTCTTTGCTGTTTAACACTGTAACTTTTGCAGCAGATTTGCCCCATGTAGTACAATGTCTGATTTCTTGACTGCTGCTTCCGTGGGTGTTGATTGTGGATCCAAGTGAAATGACATCCCTGGCAACTTCAGTCTTTTCTCCATTTAGTGTGATGTTGCTTATTGGTCTAGTTGTCAGGGTTTTTGTTTTTCATTTAAAGGTGTAATCCATACTGAAGACTGTAGTATGTGATCTTCATTGGTAAGTGCTTCAAGCAAGCAAGGTTGTGCCGTCTGTGTATTGCAGGTTGTTGATAAGTTTTCCTCCAATCCTGATGCCATGTTTTTCTTCATATAATCCAGCTTGATCAGAATAGCAGCTGCTATATAATCATTGTATGCTTAGATTCTTGCCTATGTGCTTTGTTTTTACTGATCTTAGATGCCTTGACTCCTGCAGATACAGTTCAAGAAAGACAATTGTGGAGGTTTAGTCAGAAGACCTGGTTCTTTTAACAGCTGTCTGGTAGCCATGAGCAGGTTATATAGACTCTGAACTCCAGTTTCTTTAATTATAAAACGGAAAATTCATCTTGCAATTTTGTTTTGAGGATTAAATGAGATTGCTAAAAATTGTGCAAGTAATCAAATATGAGATAATGGCTGGGACATAAATAAGTTTTTTTTTTTTTTAATTACTTTAACCAACACTTCCTTCTGTCAGGCATTATATGATTTATAAATATTAGTTAAATCCTTCTATTAATCCAGTGAAGTAGGTGGCAGTAGTCTTATTTTTCAGTGAGAAAGCCTAGGCACTAAGAGTCAAGTAACATTTCAATGTCAAATAACTAGTAAGTTGGAGACATGGGATCTGAACCTAGGTAGTGGCTCCACAGTTTGTGCTCTTAACAACTATATTGTACTACTTCTCAAGCGTTATTTGAAGGTGGATGGTTCATTATAAAGGAGTTTGCCTGTAGCATACCCATGTACTGTTGTCATGTCAATTCTGATTCATAGATAACCCTATAGGGCAGAGTAGAACTGCCTCATAGGGTTTCCAAGGCTGTAAAGCAGATTGCCACCTTTCTTCTGTGGAGCAGCTGGTAGGTTTGAACCACCGACCTTTTGGTTAGCAGTGAAACATTTTAACTACTGTGCTGCCAGGGCTACCCTGTAGCATAAGTCTTATCAAAAAGAGTAGAAAAAATAGGTGGGTCATCATTGTACCTTTGCAGTAGAGTAGGGGAAATCAGGGAGCATTAGGAAGTAACAACTCTAAGCTAAAAATTGGGAGGGCAAGAGAATTATCTTTAACTTTGATTTCTCTTAAGTTTTAGCATTCTGGTAGCACTGCTGTAAGGAGAAATTCTGTTTCTTTACCATCAAGTTGTAAAATAGGAGTCAAACCACACATGCTCATAAAATTTAAAGTGACGAGTTTGTATACATCTTGGATATATCTGTTTTAACTTGCTTATTTGTATATGTCTTCTTTTCTAGGTTTTTTTTTTTTCCCTCCCTGATTGAAAGCTGTGTTGTCAGATGTTTCAAGGATGGCTGTCCCTCTGATTGTAAAATGGGGTGGACAGGAATATTCAGTGACCACACTTTCAGAAGATGATACGGTGCTAGATCTCAAACAATTTCTCAAGACCCTTACTGGAGTACTTCCAGAACGCCAAAAGTTACTTGGACTCAAAGTTAAAGGTAATTCTTTCTCTTCCACTTTCTTGCATTCATGAATTTGGTATTTGCTATAATCTGTTACTTTCTTTAATAAATCTTTCTCTTTGAGATTTATTTAAGAAATTGTTTTAGTAGTAAAAGTAAGAAGATTAAACTTTACTAGAAAATACCACCACTATTAAGATTTCTTCTGATACTCTTTGTTTAAATCTTTGGCATAGAAGTCCCAGATGAAACAGTATAATTTATTTTTTTGACATTTATCTTCTAGCAGAACCATTTCATTACAGCTTGGGCCTTGTACTGGCACCAAATTATATTTTCCATTTTGAAAATAATGATATTTACAAATTATAGACAATGTTTCTATCTAGTCTAAAAGAGGGTTTCATGGTGTTTGTATCTGTCATATCCTTGAAGGGTGATTTTGGGTCACAGTTAACCTGCAGTTGAATTTTTTGGGCACTCGATTTTCAAGGCTTTTGTAAAGGGCTAAATTAATCTTGAATAATAAAATAAAACCTTAATCTTTTTGTTTGGTTTGTTGAATAAAGGTGTTCTTCTAAGATGGAGTCGGGGGGAAAAAGCAACCCCTGTATCATTTGCTATTTCTAGTTGTATTAGGTATAATTCTAATACAGCAATAAAACTTTGACAATTTAAGGAAAAACAAAAACAAAGAAAACTTAACTTCTGTGGAATCTGTACCAAACCATTTAATGTTAGGGTTTTGTATAATGAAATAGTGAAACCAGCATGTGAACTTTAATGAGAAAACAGTCATTTGCTTGTATTGTAGGCAAACCTGCAGAAAATGATGTTAAGCTTGGAGCTCTCAAACTGAAACCAAATACTAAAATCATGATGATGGGAAGTCGTGAGGAGAGCTTGGTAAATGTTTACTTTTGTTACCGTTTGTCCCTTTGAAGATATTACGATTTATACTATACTGTTGTATCATAGTTCTAATATGTTAAAGTTTTAGTGTGGCAGTCAGTGAAAAAGAAAAACTGCACAGTGAACAGAATATTAACTCAGTAGAAAAGAAACAAATGTTTTAGTATAGCTAGTCATAAGTATAGTAGTAGTCCAAGTGGTCACATTTAACATGGTTAATCTGCCCAAACCAAAACCAAACCACTGCCTTCGAGTTGATGCTGACTCATAGTGCCCCTGTGGGAGATTAGAACTGCCCCACAGGGTCTCCAAGGCTAAATCTTGATGGAAGGAGACTGCCTCCTCTTTCTCCTGAGGAGTGGCTGGTGGGTTCGAACTGCAGACTTTTTAGTTAGCAGCCCACTTCTTTAACCACAGCACCACCAGAGCTCCTTAAACCTGTCCAGTGGACATAGATAATGAATTGGTGTGGAAAATTTTCCACAGTGTTTGCTTAAAAGGGTCTTGAACACAAATTGTACCTTTCATTTAATTTTTATTCTAGACATGTTTGTAATGTTAAAGATAATATGGTAAAATAAAACTTCTTTTCATCTTAATAGGAAGATGTTTTAGGTCCACCCCCTGACAATGATGATGTTGTCAATGACTTTGATATTGAAGATGAAGTTGTTGAAGTAGAAAATAGGTGAGTGCTTTTCACTCTCAAAGGAACTTGGTTGTAATGAAAGAAAAAGTGAATGTTTCATCTGATTTTATTTTTTCCATTAGAGAAGAAAACCTACTGAAAATTTCTCGCAGAGTTAAAGAGTACAAAGTGGAAATTTTAAATCCTCCCAGGGAAGGGAAGAAGCTTTTGGTACTAGATGTTGATTATACATTATTTGGTAAGTCAGCTAATGATGTTTTTCATCATCTTTTTTCTATGACAGCCTTTTTATGGCCACTCTTGGTATCTTGATGAATATTTTCCAGGGTATGCTTGTCTGTAACTACTTTTTCTTTTACTTATTGATGAAGATTTAATGAACATTTTCTCAGCCATTAAATATTATTCAACAATTTTCTGGTGCGGGGGAGGGTCACAGTATTCTAGTCTAGGGATACATCATTATTTAACCAAGTCATTCCCCACTGATTAACATTTAAATTTCTGTAAGAAGTATTTTTAAATTACTTTTTAATATTTTAATCCCTGATGTTCTGTTTAATTATATTTGAGTCTTAAACTTAAAATATTTCATGTCAACCAACAAAGAAAAATGTTCATTTCATGCTCAGATATTGTCAAGAAATGATTAATTAACTCCTGATATTAGAATTAACTTATTTACCTAGACTCTTAAACCTTAAGCATATATCATAAATTAATGTATATTTGTTTTAAAATGTAATTAATTATTAAATTAATTAGACCTGTCATTTTTGTGAGATTCAATTACATCTGGAAGGGGATTAGCTAAAAAAGGTGAGTGTAGGTGGCCCTAATCTCTCTTTTGTTATCATAAATTAACATCTGTACTTTAGAAACTTGATGAAAAAAAACAAAATTTACAATTTACTGTATGAACCTAAAGTCTAGGTATTGCTCTTTGCAAATTGAGCAAAATCAATAGATTAAATCTGAAGGATATGAAATTGTGTGCTTTGAAAGACATGTATATTTCATTCAAGCAGTTGCAGTTGTGTGTTTATGTTATATTTCATAAGCTTCATTGATACTATGTACTTGTCCATGGTAATGAACTAATTATCATTTATGATTGATTTTCTTTTAGACCATAGGTCTTGTGCAGAGACTGGGGTAGAATTAATGCGGCCATATCTTCATGAATTCCTAACATCTGCATATGAAGATTATGACATTGTTATTTGGTGTAAGCTATGTTTTTTGTTTAGATTCCATGGAAATAAGATTGTTCCTTATAATACTCTGATTTATGAAATATGCCTTAAAATGACCTGTGTAATTTCAAAGGAAATTTCTAATGAAGCATGTCTGACATTGTCAAATCATAACATAAACATGTTTGCCAAATGCCACTGCAATAACTAAGAATAGGAAGGATAGATTATGGTGTCAGAATAAAAATGGCAGTGGTCACATTCAATTTGGGATTTTTTTCTTTCTGGTCTTTATGGTAGAATTCTTGGCACTTCATGCTATTTTTGCTTTCTTCTATGAAGGAAGATAAGTTACAAAACACAAACAAAAATCATGATGTGATACTTCAGAAATAAAGGTAGGCGATATGGATTTACTTAAGAAAAAAAATTAACAAGTAAGTTTAAAGCAGTGATCTCAAATTATGGTTTATAGATTATTCCAAGAACTTACACACCTATGATAAGGTAATGAATTTACGTCAAAAAATAAATTCACTACTTACTGAACACACTATTTATTTCAGCTGACATCTTTTTTTGTAGCAAGACTTCCTTAAAAAAGGAAAGGAGTGGATTGACTTACGTATTCCCTCCCCAAAAACATTAAAAATTGCTTCTGGGCAGTATTATAAGTAGAGAGCTATCCTGATTGTGAATTAAATAAAATCTCATAATTAAAGGTGCTACAATGAATTGTACTGGTTCATTAATAACAAGTCACATAGTTGTTATTGTAATCTGTAAATTTTGTTTGTGCTTTTCCTTATCAGAGTATTTCCGTTGTTCAGTGTTAATAATATTTTGTAGATATTAAAATACATATATTTAAATATATATATCTTAACTATAGTTAAGATATGACCATTTTTTGGTTTAATAAGGTAGGAAGATGTTTTCTTGAAAGCAAATTTTTGTTCAGCATCTCTTGACATCTGGGATGACTTTTAAGAAAAAGTCTGCCCTCTAAATGTTTTTAAAAAAGATTTAGAAATTCAGAAAATATTTTAAAATCATATATTTAAAATAAGTTATTTTTATTAATTATGTTTCATAGTAGCACTTTGGAGCTAAGTAGACAAGGGTTCATTCTGGCTCTACCCTTTGTGACACTGGCTAGGTCACTTAGTGTTTCTGAGACTTAGTTTCCTCATCTGAGAAATGAAGATAACTAAACCCAAATTACAGGGTAGTTGTAAGAGTAAAAATACAGTAACTATCACCATGTCTGACATATAATACTTAATAATTAAGACTTTTTATTAGCTGTGAGTTTTTTTGGTTTTTCATCTGGAAATTATAAATAAAATAGATAACTGAATTTTAAAAAATTGCTTTTTCCTTATTTCATGACTGTTTTCATTGTACGTACATTGCAGTGTAAGTTTTGCATGAGATGATTCTTTTGATGTTTTTTCTATGTGCTAAAAATTTTTAATTTTGAGGACTCAGGTATATCTTTTATTGTAAAACATACAAGTATTTGTTTTATATATATGTATAAATATATGTATATATATTTGTGTATATGTATATATAAAATAAATAAATTGCTTCTTCCCTTTTTAAATACTTAGTATTATCTATATAGTTTAGTCCAGTAACTTGGGGCTGGGAGAGCACACAAAGCTAAGGATTGAGTGATTCCTGAATTGTTAATGCCTTGACATTGACCAGAAACATGACATAGGAACAGTTTCTGAATTTAGTTGTCTCAAATTCCTTCTTAAAGGCTTCTAGAGTCAATGAGCATTAAGTTTGCCAGGCCTGACAAAGGACTATTTTTTGTGGGACCTAGCTAATCTTCAACATTAACTTTAATGTTATATTGTTAGATATGGTTGAGTTGCTTCCTTCTGACTCATAGTGACCTCTCTGTACAACAGAAGGAAACACTGCTTGGTCCTGTGCCATCTGCCTAATTGTTGTTATGTCTGAGCCTACTGTTGGAGCTGCAACAGGCCGTCTCAATGAGGGTCTTACTTTTTCTGGCTGACTCGCTACATTATGAAACTTAATGTCCTTCTCCAGGGATTGGTCCTTCCTGGTAATGTGTCCAAAGTATACGAGATGATGTTTTGCCACCTTCATCACTAAGGCACATTGTGGCTATACTTCGTGAAAGACATTTGTTCATTCTTCAGGCAGTCTGTGGTATAATTAATATTCTTTGCCAGCACCATAATTCAAATGCATCAATTCTTTGGGCTTCCTTGGTCATTGTCCAGTTTTCACATGCATATGAAGTGATTGAAAACTCTATGGCTTGGGTGAGGTGTACCTTAATCCTCAAAATGACCTCTTTGCTCTTTAACACCTTAAAGAGGTCTCTTGCAGCAGATTTTCCCAGTGCGATATGTTGATTTCTTGACTGCTGCTTCCATGAGCATTGGTTGTAGATCTAAGTAAAATGAAATCCTTTAGAACATCAGTCTTTTCTCTGTTTTTTTATGATGTTGCTTTTTGGTCCACTTGTGAGGATTTTTGTTTTCTTTTATGTTGAGGTGTAATTCCTACTGAAGGCTGTAGTCTTTGATCTTTATCAGTAAGTGCTTTAAGTCCTCCTTGCTTTTAGCAAGCAAAGTTGTGTTATCTGCATATCACAGGTTGTTAATGAATCTTCCTCCAGTCTTGATGCCTGGTTCCTCTTCATATAGCCCAGCTTCTCTGATTATTTACTCAACATACAAATTGAATAAGTATGGTGAAACATACTTACTCAACACCGACACACACTTTTCCTGATTTTAAACCATGCAGTATCCCCTTGTTCTGTTTTAACAACTGCCTCTTGGTCTGTTTACAGGTTCCATGTGAGCACAATTAAGTGTTCTGGAATTCCCATTTTTGTAATGTTATCCATAATTATGATCTACACAGTCCATTGCCTTTGCATAGTCAATAAAACATAGGTTAATATTTTTTAGGAGCCCTGGTAGCATAGAGCCTAAGGAATTTGACTGCTAACCAGAAGGTTGGTGGTTCAAACCCACCAGCCACTCCTTGGGAGGAAGGTTGGACAGTCTACTTCCATAGTGATACAGCCTCGGAAACCCAAAGAGGGGTCGCTATGAGTCGGGTTTGGGTATTCTTTGCTTTTAGCCAAGCTGCATCTGACATCCACAGTGATATCCCTCATTCAACATCCTCTTCCGAATCTGGCTTGAATTTCTGACAGTTCCTTGTAGATGTACTCCTGCAACTGTTTTTAAATTACCTTCAACAAAATTTTATTTGCATGTGATATTTATGATATTGTTTGGTAATACTTACATTCTCTTAGATTACCTTTCTTTGGAATGAGCACTAATATGGATCTCTTCCTGTTGGTTGGTTGGCCAGGTAATTGTCTTCCAAATTTCTTGACATAGATGAATAAGTGCCTCCAGCTTTGCATGTGTTTTTTGAAACATCTCAGTGGGTATTTTTCAGTTCTGGGAGGCTTGTTGTTAGCCAGTACCTTCAGTGCAGCTTGGACTTCTTCCTTCGGTGTCATTGTTCTTGATCATATGCTACCTCCTCTAATGGTTGAATATTGACCAGTTCTTTTTGGTATAGTGACTGTATGCATTCCTTCATGTTCTTTTGTTGCTTCCTGTGTCATTTGATGTTTTGCGCATGTTCTTGTTAGGTGCTGTCGAGTTAATGCCTACTCATAACAAGCCTATGTACAATAGAACAAAACATTGCATGGTCCTGCACCGTCCTTACAATCATTGCTATGCTTGGGGCCTCTGTCACAATCACAGTGCCTATCCATCTTGTTGTGGGTCTTCCTCTTTTCTGCTGATGCTCTGCTTTACCAAGCATGATATCCTTTTTCCAGGGATTGGTTCCTTCTGACAATGTGACCAAAGTATGAAAGATGATATCTAACCCTTCTCACTTTTAAGGAGCATTTTGGGTGTATTTGGACAGATTTGTTTGTTCTTCTAACAGTGTATGATTCATTCAATATTCTTTGCCAGCACCACAATTCAAATGCATCAATTTTTCTGTAGAATTTCTTTTTCATTGTCCATAGACTTCTTCGGTATTGCAACTCAAGGTGTGAATTTTTCTTAAAGCTCTTTTCAGGTTGAGAAATACTGAGCATGTTCTTCCCTTTGGTTTTCTAAGTCCAGGTCTTTGCACATTTAATGATAATTCTCTACTTTGTCTTCATGAGCTGTCCTTTGAAAGCTTCTGTTCAATTCTTTTCCTTCACCATTTCTTCTTATCACTTTATCTTTTCTATGTTAATTTTCAGAGTTTCTTCTGACATCCACTTTTGGTCTTTTCTTTTTTTCCTGTCTTCTTAATGATCTTTTGCTCTCTTCATGTATGGTGTCCTTGATGTCACCTGGTGTTTGGTCATAAATGTTTCATGCATCAAATCTATTCTTGAGATGGTCTCTAAATTCAGGTGAGATGTACTCACAGTTGTAATTTGGCCTTTGTGGACTTGTTTTAATTTTCTTCAGCTTTAACTTGAGCTTGCATATGAGCAATTAGTGGCCTCTGGCCTTTTTCTGACTGATGATATTGAACTTCTCTGTAGTCTCTTTCCACAGTTGGAGTAAATGTGATTCCTGCATATTCCTTAAGTGAAGTATAGTTGCCATTTATGTTGTTGAAAAAAGGTGTTTGCAATGAAGATGTCATTAGTCTTGCAAAATTCTATTATGCGGTCTCTGGCATCTCTTCTATCACAAGTATATTTTCTAATTACTGTGAGCTACCTTCGTTGTTGCCAATTTTTGCATTCTAATCACTAGTAATTATCAGTGCAACTTGATTGAATGTTTGATCAATAACAAACTGCAGAAGTTGGTAAAATCTTCAGTGTCTTCATTTTGGGCATTATTATTTGGTATTTAAATTTGAGTAATAGTTGTATTAACTTGTCTTCCTTGTAGGCGTACGGATATTACCCTATCACTGACAGCATTGTACTTCAGGATGGATGTTGAAACATTCTTTTTGACAATGCGATGCCATTCCTCTTTAATTTGTCATCCTGGCATAGTAGAACATATGATTGTCTGATTCAGAACAGCCAATATCAGTTCATATCAGCTCTCCAATACCTAAAATACTGATCTCTGTGTTGCATTTCATTTTTGAGAACTTTCCATTTTCCTCGATTCACATTTCATACATTCCTTGTTCCAATTATTAATGGATGTTTGCAGCTGTTTTTTTTTTATTATTATTATTTTGAGTCATGCCACAACAGCAAATGAGGGTCCTGTAAACTTTACTTCATCTACATCATTTGGTTTGACTCTTCTTTGAGGAGGCAGGTCTTCCCCAGTTGTATTTTGAGTGCCTTCCAACTTCAGGGGCTCATCTTCTGTTACTACATCAAACAATGTTCTACTGCCATTGATGATTTTCACTGGCCAGTTTTTTTTCAAAAGTGGACCTCCAAGTCTGTCTTAAGTCTGGAAGCTCTGCTGAAACCTGTCCACCATGGGTGACCCTGCTGGTATTTGAAATACCAGTGGCATAGCTTCCAGCATGACAACAACATGCAAGCCACCATAGTACAACAAACTGACTTTTGATATACAACATTGATATACTGATGTACTATATATACCTGGGCATTGCCTGGAAGTAGAAAATGAAAGAAAGTTGACATGCAGGTACCCTAAATTTAAGTTTGGAATTGATACAGAAGAATAGTGGCAGGGCTGTTTTTAAAAGGGAATTTTTGTCTTGATTTATAAATTTCCCAGGTTCTAAATTCTACTGAGTATTGGTTACCTGTACTTTATGAATAAAAGTTATTTGCATTTTATTCTGCTTTGAAGATACACTAAAGTAAATTTATTTTTATAAATATTTCAAACAAAATTATAAATATGGTAGGGACTGTTATATGTAATGCATTTAAACTTTAGTTTTATTTAGAAAACTTACTCATACGGAAGAAAGTTTTTAACATGAAATTCACACTTTTCATATGTATTGTATTATCATTCCTCATATTTTAGCTGCAACAAATATGAAGTGGATTGAAGCTAAAATGAAAGTAAGTGTTAGAAAACAATCCATTTAAAAATGTTTTGAAACTGCATTTGTCTTGTTAGAAGTTTTAGAAATTAATTTCGTTCTCATTGGAAAGCCTTTAGTAATAAGCAAATACCGACATCAGGAGTAGAAGTGTGATTAAAGTCTGTTTAATGACAGAGTGTATTGAATACCTAAGTTTTTTCAAGAAAATGTACTGCTAAGCTTACCCTTGCTTTTCTTTTCTCATTTTATAATAAAGATTTCTTTCTTTGGCTATGATGTGTTAAAGGGTTAACACTCTTCCAAAATGATAAATTAGGAGGTAGGCTTTGTCTAGTTTATTTTCCTTGGACTGCCATTTATTGACTTAGCTTAATGGAACTAAAATACTTGCAACTTGTTTAGCAAGATGTGGTAGCTAAGGAGGTAGAAAGTTGGCATTGTGGGAAATGGCAGCTGGAGTCATCAGGAAACCTGAGATTTCCCATGGTATTATATTTTAACCACATGAATATTTGTGTTTATAGGAGCTGGGAGTGAGCACAAATGCAAACTACAAGATTACCTTCATGTTGGACAGTGCTGCTATGATAACAGTGCATACTCCAAGGAGAGGATTAATAGATGTAAGAAGTCATTTTACTTATATTTAATAAGACTTGTTTATTTTCTAATGTCCTTTTTGTTTATACTGATAGAATAAATTGTAGAGTTTATAAATTCACCTGAGTGGATAGTGAAGTGACAATTGTGTTTTGACATAAGAAAACATATTTAAGGTTAAAAGATCCAAATCTTAATGTTAAAATTAAAGACCTCGAGACTGGGCTGTCAAGAAAGGAACTTGTAGTTTTGGAAAATTGTTTGTAATGATGGTAGCTTAGTGGAGTAAGTGAGAAAAATACTGAATATCAAGGAATATATTAGCAACAGAAGAAACTGGTAAGCAGAGACAGAGCACCAAGATGCATGTACCTTGGAGTTAGGTATGAACAGGCCTAGAGAAGAGCAACAAGAAACATTAGAGAAATGGCTGGGCTGAAAAATTAGTACTCTTCACTTTGTTTCTCATCAAGCAATTAGCTACATTACTGAGCACCTCCTATCTGCACAGCCCAGAAATAGGCACTACTGACGGCACATAACAACAACAACAACAACAGGAATAAAGAGGTGAGTGAGATGTCCATGGCTTCTAGAAGCACACAAATAGTAGGAATTGGGGAGAGCTCAGGATACTAGGAAAACTTAGATAGCATTAAAATTCTCAAAATCATAAATAGTTTATAAGTGCTTGCAAGTTTTTCAACAAAGGAACTACTGCACATTTCAGAGGGAAAGACTGCATATATTTTATTATCTACTAAAGTAGTATATTCACAAATCTAGAAGTAAAAACAGGTTCGGAAAATGTTCAAGCATAGAGAAGTGTTTATAATAGTGAAAAATTAAAAGGGATAAAAATAATTGACAATAGACAATTGGATATATAAATTGTTGTTCATCTGTTTAACAGAATGCAGCTAATCATTTGACATAATAGAATATGTAATGATACTAAAAATTTTTCATAATACATCAATGAAGTGAAAGAAGTATTTTGGCAGTATTTGCAAGCCGTTTGTTTGGTTCAGGGTTCCCCTTAACAAAAGACCTATGAACTCTGCGGCTACTTCTGTTTATAAAAAAGACTGGAGATAAATATATCAGAATATCTAATTGTTACTCTTGGTATTGGATTGTAGGTGACTTAAAATATTTCTTTGCACTTTCTGTATTTAAATTTTTCTGCAGTTTTATAACTTTTATAATTGAGAACAAAGCATTCTATGCTTTAAGGAACATGGTGGTTGGCCTAATTACAAAATGACAGCACTATTTAGGAGGATACAGGGTTTCTAAACCTAGATGTCAAAAAGGCTAATTTCTTGAGGCTTTTATTGTTAGCCAAGAAAACCAAGAATCTTGCTTACTGTGTTGGTTCACAGTATGTTTGTCTTCAGGTATTTGAGAGGTTTGTATCAGTAGTAAGTAAATAGTAGAAACAAAATCAGGAAAATAAAATTTTAGTAAAATTAAACTTTTCAAAAATATTTATTGGAGTAAATAGGGCACTAAGGGTAAAAAAGTTTTCTTATTAGAATAAATTCTAGGACAAAAATAAGACATTTTTAAAGAAGCCAGGAGGAATTCATGAGGAAGCCTTTGTCAGCAATAAATGAGATCCCTGCCTTCAGGAAAAAGTAATTTTCTTTAAAAATTATTTTTCTTTATATTTTTTCTGTGTAGTAATATGATTCAACAATAAAAATAAAATACATAATGAAAAGTCTTCTTCCAATCTGTGTCCCCTTGCTGCTTAATTTCTTTCCTATAAGCAGTTACTTTTATTATTTTTGTGGTCTTACCAAGATTTTATGTTAAATACCAAAGATTCAAATATAGAAGGGGTTATCATTTTGAAGCCTTGTTTTAAGGATTCAGAAATAAGAGCCAGAATTTACAAACTTTGGTGCGTTTGAAGTCAAGCAATCAGATGCCCGAGGAAGAATACACCTGTGCCACTGAATTGTTTAAAATCTTCCTGTGTAAAATATCTAAATTATGAATTAAAAGAGGCAGGTACAATAAAGGCAAATACTATTGCATACACAATACTGCAGTATCAGTAACAGCAAACACTAATCTTCAGGAGGATACATAGGTAGATCTAGGCAAATGAGAATATAGCTATGACCGTATATAGGTTTGGCAGACAGTGTTCCTACATGTGTATTTATATGTGCTGTAAAAATGTCCATATGCAGTTTAAATATAACAGGAGACAAAGTTAGAGTAACTTCTTAGCCACAAATAAGCACTTTGAGGGAGTGGGTCACTGGGCCTTCAGGCTGGGGACCGTGGTCCAGGGGGACAGCAAGCTCTAAATCGGCACAACATGGTATACAAAAATACTGTTCTATACATATTTCAGTGAGTAGCGACTAGGGTCTTAAAAGCTTGTGAGTGGCCATCTAAGTGGCAACTATTGGTCTTTCCTCATCCCAAGCAAAGAAGAGTGAAGAAAAAGTTGCATGGAAACCGTCCAAAGGACTGGTGGACCATAAAACCTCAACCTATATGATCCACAGACTAGAAGAATTAGATGGTGCCTGGCTACCAATGCCTGCCACTCAGAAAAGGATCAAAATTGGAGATCCTGTACAGAGTGGGGGAAAAATGTGGAACAAAACTCAAAATAATAAAAAAGACCAGGCTTACCAGTCTGATAGAGACTAGTGAAACCCCTTAGTCACTCTTCAGGCCTGGAATTGATTTCACTCCTGTGGCTTAACTCTTAGCCAAACAGTAGACAGACCTATGAACTGAATACACCAGGGAGTAAATGCATTTCTTAGAACAGTCAGTCAGAGGAGATCAGAAGGGCAGCATATGCACAGGGAGGAATATAGTCAGGAGGACGTAGGCAAAAAGGACATAGGGAAAGGGTAACTACAGGGAGGAAGTGCAGGGAATATAACCAGTGTTACAAAACAAAATGTGTATGAACTGTTGATGTAGAACAAATCTGCTTTGTGAAATTTCACCCAAATCATAATAAAACATTTAAACAACAACAACAACAAAAAATTTAAAGGCTTGGAAGCCCTATAGTGAAGTTCAACAGGATTGCTGTGAATGACTTGAGGGCAGTGAGTTGATCGAAGAAGAAATCTCAGAAAAAAATTAAAAATATTTTAACTAAATGAAAATAAAACGTCAAGATCTGTGACATGCAGGAAAAGCAGTATGCAGGGTACCAGAAGGCTTGAGGTTCAAACCCACCAGCCACTCCTCGGAAGGAAGATTGGTCAGTCTACTTGCGTAGAGATACTGCCTTGGAAACCCAAGGAGGGGTTGCTATAAGTCGGAAATGACTTGATGGCAGTTAGTTTGATTTATTAGGAAAGAAAAAGAGATATGTATAACTTTAGTTTCCACTTTAGGAAACTGGAGAAAGAAAAGTGATTTATAAGCCTAAGTAAGAAAAAGAAAACAAATAATAAAAATCAGAACAGAAATCAGTGAAACTGAAAACAGAAAAGCAATAGAGAGAATCAATGAAGGTGAAAGCTGGTTCTTTGAAAATACCAAGAGAGTTGACATCTCTGGTGAGTTGACTAAGAATAAAAGAGATGTGACTCAAATTACTAGAATCAGAAATGATTCTACTACTAACTTTACAGGAGTAAAAATAATTGTAAAGGAATACTATCAATTCTATGACAACAAATTTGATAGATGAATTGGACCAGTTCCTTGAAAGATGCAAATTAAAAATTCACACAGATAGAAATAGATCATCTGAATAAGCCTGTATCTGTCAGAGAAATTGAATAAATAATAACTTCAAAAAAGTAAGCACAAGGCCCATACAGTTTCACTGGTAAATTCTAAACATTTAAGGAAGAAATGGTACCAATTTTTCTACATTGTCTTCCAAAAAAAAAGAAGCAGAGCAAACACTTTCTAATTCATTCTATGAGGACAAAATCAATAGCTTTCTTATATACCAGTAATACACAATTAGAATTTTTTAAAAAATATTATTTATAAATAGGTTTAAAAGCATAAATCTAACCAAATTTATACCAGATAATCTGTGCAGAAAACTATAAAACCGTGAGAAAGAAAATTTAAATTAATGGAAAGTTATCTCATGTTTATGAATTGGAATACTCAATATTGTTAAAATGTCAATTTTTCCTAACTTGACCTATAGATTTAGTGCCATTCCAATCAAAATCCCAAAAGGCTATTTGTAGCTATTGAGAAACTGATTCTAAACTTTATTTAAAGTTTGGAAAGGCAAATGACTAGAATAAGCAACATGACTCTGAAGAAGAAAAAAGTAAGAGGTCTCATTCTATAGTTTATTTTAAAACTATAGTGATCAAAAAAAGTGTGAGATTGCTGAAAAATTAGACACAAAAGATCAGCAGAATAGAAAGCCCAGAAATAGACTCCACAAATACAGTCAGCCAGTCTTTGACAAAGAACCAAAAGCAAATAAATGGAGATACAGTAATCTTTTCAACAAATGATGGTGCCATTAGCTATCCATATGAAAAGAAAAGTGAACCTAGATACGGAATATACATCATTCAAAAACATAATCCAAACTGGATCTTAGACCTAAATGTAACATGCAAAACTATACAACTTCTGGAAGAAAATAGAAAATACGTGTCTTGATTTGGTGATGAGTTTTCAAATACACGAAAAGCATGATCCATGAAAGAAAACATTGATAAATTAGATGTGTTGAAAATCTCTGCTCTGTGAACATCACTGTTAGGAGAATGAAAAGATAAGCCATTTCTGATAGAAAATATTTTCAAAACATATATCTGATAAAGAATTTGGGGGGAAAAAAAAGGAGGTACATTGTCCCTCACTAAAGTTTTCTATGTGACTCTCAAGCCTTGAGGAGGCATTTATTTGCCCAGGAAATCATGTGATCACTTAGTAGAAATCTTAAAAATTATTTCCCATCATTTTGTAATTACTAAATAACTACTCTTCATTTGACCCAAAATTTTCATGTTAAAATTATGCAGTTTTACGACGGGTTTAGTTTTTGTTGTTGTTGCTGTTGTGTGCTATCTTGTTGATTCCAACTCACAGTGACCCCATAGGACAGGGTAGAACTACTCATCAAGTCTCCAAGACAGTAATCTTTACAGAAGCATACTGCCACATCTTTCTCTGGTGGAGGGGCTGGTGGGTTCAAACTGCCAAAGTCAGTTAGTAGCTGAATTCTTAACCAGTGTGCTACCTTCTTTTAGTTCAGTTACACCTGAACAGACTTTTCACAAGTTAACATTGTGGGATACATTGTGCTTCAAAGTGTATTGCAACTCAGTTATGATCAGTCTACAAAACAACTGCCAGCCACTATCCTCTTACAGGGAAAAGGGAATACTCTGGTATAGTTTTCCAGTGCATTCTGTATTATTTCTGCCTTTTGATTTAAATCTGAGTTAAATCTAAACTTTGGTTTTAAGGTAAAACCTCTTGGTGTTATATGGGGAAAGTTTTCGGAGTTTTACAGCAAAAAAAACACCATTATGTTTGATGACATAGGAAGAAATTTTCTAATGAATCCACAGAATGGACTAAAGGTAAGGCGGTTTCACTTCTATGTGCTCATGTAAGGAGCTCTGGTGGCATAGTGCCTAAGGCGTTTGACTGCTAACCAGAAGGCTGGCAGTTCAAACCCACCAACTTGTGGGAAGGAAGATTGGGCAATCTATTTCCATAGTGATACCACCTCGGAAACCCAAGGAGTCACTATGAGTCGGATCTGACATGACAGCAGTGTTTGATTTTGGTTTTATGCTCATGTAATCTGGAGGATATAGAACTTAAGCATTGATTGATTTTCATAAATTTGTTTAAGTACTGTATTATGGATACTTGCAAGAAAAACTTATGTATTTAGAATAATGCATATGAAATTGAACACATTCCCCTTTGTATTGGTATCTTCTCGGTTAGCCAGTGTATCCCAGTGTTCTATTTTTAATTAGTTCTGTGGTGCAACCTACGCTTATTGCCATTGAGCATCAAAAGTGAAATAATCAGACATTTTACTTGGAATCTTAGAATTTCTGATGCTCTGGTTAGCTGGAGAACTGACGATAAGGTTTTTTTTTTTTTTTTTTTTTTAAGTAAACTAAGAGGTTTTTGAAATGCATAGATGGCAAGTAGATCTTAGAATTATAAAATGCTACTGCTGGAAGGACCTCTGGCATCTTGTCTACCTACGTAATTTTGTAGAAACAATTTGATGGTCAGAAAGTTCACGACTTGCCTAAGATTGTGTATGTAATTGGTTGATGTTAGAATTTGGGTTAGAATCTAAGTGACTTGGTTTTCGGATCATTGATAATTTTAGCATGCAATCTTGTATAGATGTGATGCTGGTGATAGTGTAAAATTGGTAAGAGAAATCTGAAACTTAAAAATTTTGGTACCTCTGGTTGCTTAAATGTCAGCAAATTATGAAAATGGAAAAGATAGCTTTATATTATGGTACTAATATAGATAGAGATTCCATTGAAGTGGAAATCCTGACACTAAGATATTTTTATTATTAGTCCTGAATTTTTCCCAGCAAGGTGTGTTCTTGGTAATTTTCAAAGTCAAGAGAAAAACTTCAAGAAAGGCTGCATAAATGTATAATGATAACCAGCTATATAAATAATTAATAGGAAAAGACTGAAATGAAAATCATTAATGTTAAGATTTATCTCCCTCTCCTGTTAGATCCAGCTTATATTTTAGTTAACTTATGAATGAAGTGATGTGAATGAAATTATTTCATTAGGAAGAAGTAACTGGAGTGATAGAAGGGGAAAGTGAAGCAGTGTTGAAAAGTATAGTAGCCACATAAAGGTTCAAGTACTGTAAGAAAGTCGGTGTTGTCAGGTTCAGGCTGAAAAGAACAATAAGGTGAAAAATGAAAGAGCTTTGAACTTACATAGACATACTATGACTGAATTTATTCAGTTGAGGGTAGTACAAAAGTATTTTTAGTTTAGATCTACTTGGTAATATTTTAACTTCATCAGCTCTCATGAAATTGATACAGGTTTGTGTTGGTTTTTCTTATTGCAATGTGAAATGCTGAATAATGTTTGTTTCCCAATAGATAAGACCTTTTATGAAAGCACACCTAAATCGAGATAAAGACAAAGAACTTTTAAAATTAACTCAGTACCTGAAGGAAATAGCAAAATTAGATGACTTTTTGGAGCTAAACCACAAATATTGGGAAAGGTAAGTGCTAAGTTGCTTATTCTTTTTCTCCTTATATTAATAAATCAATAAATAATCTTATGACACCTATATACACATAATTCTTCATTTTCATTTAAAATGGGTGAATGCTAAAAATATTTTTCAATCCAGTGACATCTCCAGAAAATATTTTTTCCCTTCTGTCTTAACCTCTCACTTGTTCATACACCTGTATCCCTTAAGTTCTTAAAAAATGCTTTTAGTGGAGAGGACTTTAGAGACTCACACAAATTTATGGTGCTATATGTTAATTCTTTTGTGACATTAGGTAAGTCATTTTTGTAATGTACCATATGAGATGTAATCCTGGAAAGTTTATAAATTACTCTATATGTGATCTCTGTTCATAGCAAACAAATTTATTCCACTAGAAAAACAATTATGATCTTCTTATCTGAAGATAACCACTAGTACCATGTTAGTGGATAATCTTCCACATGTTTTGTAAGCAAGATGTGTGCATAAATCTAGATACAGAGTGCATATAAACAAGATTTTAGAAGGGAGGACCTCTGGAGAAGTGGAAGGGATTATTAGGTACTGCAAGTAAATTTTGAAATTAGATCTTCAGAGTTGAGTATTTTATTTTAATCTAGTTCTAATAAGACAGCCACAAAACAAACCATTTGTGTAATAAAAGTACTTTTGCTTTCCGATTCTACTTTTGACTTTTCAGATCACTTTGACAACTGGCTTCTTATTTGAGTTTCATGGTCCTATTAGGAAGATAAGGCAGATTCTGAGCATTTTTTATCCCCCATCTTCATTTTGCAGAGAAAATAAATCCATGACACAATGCCACAGAGTAAATAGGTTGCACCATCAGAACTTGTCCAGTTCTGACTTTAAGAACTCTTTCCCTATCCCATGTCACTGATTATGGCACTTCATAAATATTAAAAATAGATACAAAAATTTTAATTATGTGGTATATTCTTATAAATAATATGAAGAAAAATTTGCCTGCTTAGTAAATTAATACCTTTGCATCTTTGACAATTTTGATTAAAGTCCTTTAGCGTCTTTGACTCACTATCTTTAGACTTATCACAGTCAGAACAAGTCATGCAAGAAAAAACGGTCTTTCAATGGAGTTTGAGTTCTATTTAGAAATTACAGAACTACTTAATATATTCCACATTTGCAAGTAAGGTAACATGGAATGACAGTTAAAGAGCACAGTCTCTGGAACTAAGCTGCCTAGTTTTGAGTCTGAGCTCTAGCCATTGTCTAGCTGTGTGAATGTAATTTGATTAACCTATTCATAGGAATAATTTTTAATAGAGAACTCCTCTTAGAGCTGTTGTTAGGACTAAACAAATTCATACATGTGTTTAGAACAGTGCTTGGCACATAAGCAATCAACAGATGTTAGCAACTAATAATTCATTGTTAAAAGCTTTGTTATTTCTTTAAAATAAACTGTATTCCTTTGGGAAAAGAGATTGGTATAAATTTAGTATGAAACATCTTTGGCATCCTTATTTCTTGCAGATATCTCTCAAAGAAGCAAGGACAGTAATTATAAGTTACACTGACAGTTGCTGAAGATACTGGAGATCCATGAACTTCTTGCTTTTATGCTAGAAATCATTATGATAGTGCTGGACACTGAAGCAAATACCAGACTGCTTATAATCTGTCTTCCAGTTTTTTGTAAATTTAATTTTATATTTTTTGAAGATCATAGCAATATGCTTTAAAAAAAATCCATTTTTTCCTATATGTATATACTGTTACTCTTGGAAAAATATTTTCTCCAGCATTGATGACTAAATTTTTTCATCTCCCCAAAATGGAGAAAAATGTATGCTCAACAATGTTATTTTGTGACTTTGGAAACAAGTTATGTCTTGTGTTTTTGTCTTACTATGTTTTTTTCTCACTAACTCTAAGACCAAACCCATCTTGAAACTAGTGTTTTTCCCTTTAAAACCCTCTCTTCCCACCAAAAAAAAAAAAATTTGAGTGAAGGACCTAGGATTTAAGTAAGCTGACTGAAATTTTTTTATTCCTTTGTTATAGACACAGTTTGTCATCTGTACTCCACTACTTAGATCTTTAAATTCTGAGCTATCTCAGTTTGGTCTGTATGTGTGACAGTGTTACTTGAGTCAAACTGGAAAATGTCAGCTGTGATACAGATATGTCATAGTATGAGAAATAGAAAACATAAGACTAAGGAATAAAATAAGGAACAAGAGTGTGTCGTTTTTGGTGTCTTAAATTGAAGCACTCTACAGCCATTGTCATAAAAGGAGTTAAAGACACTTAATTTTAAAGTGGGGCATATCTCTGATTCTGCCCTAAAAAGCATGAACAAAAGTTTTTGTTCTGTTCCAACTATATCTAGTCTAAATGCAAACACTGTAACATGTCAGTAAAAATATCACCATAGGATTAAAAAAATTTTGCATTGCTTAAGCCTGCAATATAGATATGTAATTTGATTACTGTTTTGTATTGACAGTATTGCGTTACACGGTTACTGTATTTGAAAGGAATATGATCCTTTCAAATTAACGTGGTGTATATTGTTCTTATGGGACTATTTCAGTGGTGTAAATAATAAATACCTTTTCTTAAAACTTTGGTTACTTGCTCTATATTATCCCAAATATTTAAATATTTATTAAATCACAAAAAAAACATTGGATTCAGGCAAAGACCGCTTGAATTTGTATGCTTTTAAAAGTGTGTATATTGCTATTGATGCATTTGGGATTAATTGTAGCAGTTAGTTAGAAATGTTAAATTACTTAATTCAAGTAAGCACTATGTTTCAGAAGGATACACAGTATTTCTTTGTGACAGGTTATTACAAGGATTTATAGTACAGAAGAGTTTGAGAGATTAAGTAATTGAATGATTTAGTTAAAATGTGTTTCTTCATTATGAGCCTAAGTTTACATATTTGGAGAGATAATAGAATTTTTTCGAGTATTCATTTCATTGATATATTTTTCCACTGTAATATTTTATTATTTCAAGAAGGCATGGAAGGGACTTGATCTTTTTAAGAAAACTGACACTTAAAAGTCAATTATTAAAATAGGTAAGAAAGAATAGATAACTTTGTAAATCTGTATAAGCTAAAATACAAAACAAGCACCAGGAAAAGGGTGATTTTAAAGAAATCGTTTTCTGCCATTAGGTGGAGCCCAAACCAAAGTTGATTAGCAGGTAGGCTTAACTAAGTCTGGGAGAATGTAGTCCTACTGGGCTTGTTGAGAGCAAGCGTGCTATGATTCTTTCATAGAGTATAGGTGTTTTAGTTTGCCTTCTGCATCTCCTAGTTTATTGAACAGATCTATATATATGGAATACATAGCATAGCCAAGAGGTCACTTAATTCAGATACATAGTCTAGTAAATTACCAAATAATTTTTATGATACATAAGTTCCAGACTTTCTAACAATTATAACCTTATAAACTATTTTAACCCACAGACTCCACAGATCATTAAATTTGATTCAGGGCAGTTGGAGATCTAGTACTCCCTTGGGTCCTAGTTACAAAAATCTGTTATTGGACTAATGATTCCTGTAGCAGCTACTCAGTTTAAAAGGAGTAGAATAGATCAACATGTTATTATAGTACACAACTGAAGTATGTTCGTCATTCAGAGAAAGTAAAATAGTTTTTTGTGGGGGTAAAGATGGAACTATGGGACTGGGAAAGAAAAGATATGCAGAACTCTTGAGAAAAAATTTATGGTTTCCACTGAAGTATTTATACATCAAGACTCATTAACTGGAATAGCAGCTCAAAGGATGTCTCTAAAGATTAAATGCTTACATATTTATTTAAGGATATACTAGTTTTGGGAATTGCTTTAGGGAAGCTATGTGAGTCAGGAGGTGGCGGTGCTGAGTATTTAGAGGCTAAAGAGAAACCCTTTGAAATTAGTTTCATATAATTATCAAAGACTTCTGACAGATGAGTGTGCATTGTAAGAACTAGTACAAAAATCATAAGGCATACTAAGGTGGGCAGTTTGAATCCACGTGACACTGGATGAGAAGATTGATGATTTACTTCTGTGAGATTACAGCCTTTGAAAACCCTACGGAATACACTTTTACTCTGAAACAATTGGTCGGATTTGACTCTGTGGCAGTGAGTTTGGTTTGTTTTAATTTATTGGTGTAGTGGCCTAAGACATTTGACTGCTAACCAGAAGGTTGGCAGTTCAAACTCAGCAGCCACTCCTCTGACGGAAGATTGGGCAATCTATTTCCATAAATATTTACTGCCTTGGAAACCCTATGGGTGTCGCTATGAGTCAGAATCAGCCTGATGGCAGTGAGTTTTTTGTTTTTTGATGTGAATGTTAGATGTTACTAAAAGTGTTTCAGAGCATGTAGCTATCATTGAGCTGTATGTTCTTGGAAGTGAGTATCAAGACAGTAGCAGTAAAAGGAAAACAACCCTTGATTTCACAAATATTGCCATGGGTTCTAAGAATTCTAAACAATCAAGGAAAGAAGAATGAGTAAACACCTTTTATGGCCTGGCTGCTTTTATAAGTATTCAAAGGCTTTTAAGTCTGCAAGTGCTATTTAGTCTTGACTGGAAGACCAACACCTTAGCTCTGCCAAAGAGAGCGTGATTGAACATAAGAAAGATGTAAGCAGCATTGCAATGCATCTTGTATAGGGAATGTTAACTTTATTTTATAATCTCCCAACAGTGGCAACCAGCTGTTTGCAGAAAAGAGCTTACTAAGTTTCCCATGCAATGTAAAAATGAAAAATCATTCGAGACCAGCGTGTTTAAAAATTGTTTTCCCTAAAAATATAGTAAGGTGAATGTTAATTCCTTCATAAGTTTGGTAGAATAAACTGTTTATGCAGGAACCTGGCAGTCAACATTTAACATTATCAGTACCTACTAATAATTATTAATTATTTTATAATTATATAAAATGATCATAAATTTATAATTTTTTAATTATTTATAATTAATAATTATTAGTACCTACTCTATTTCAAGGAGCTCTGGTAGCAGAGTGCCTAGGGCACTTGACTGCTAACCAGGAGGCTGGCGGTTCAAACCCACCAGCCACTCCTTGGAAGGAAGGTTGGGCAATCCTACTTCCGTAGTGATAACTGCCTTGGAAACCCAAGGAACGGTCGCTAGGAGTCGGGGCCGACTCGATGGCAAATAACAACTCTATTTCAAGTACCTACTCTGGTGGCATAGTGCCTAAGGCATTGACTGCTAACCAGAGGCTGGTGGTTCAAACTCACCAGCTACTCCTCAGAAAGAAGATTGGGTAATCTGCTTCTGTAGAGATAGCACCTTGGAAACTCAAGGAGGGGTTGCTATGAGTTGAATCAACTATATCTCAGACACTGTTTTCAGAGGTAAACACAAGATTCTCTACCCTTATGGATCTTATATTTGAGTGAGGGAAACAATAAAGAAGTAAACCAAAAAGCAAGACCAGGTAGATGTATAGAGACCACAGTTTATTAGCAGTTACCAGGGGCCAGAGGATGCTTTTGAGCTGTAGTGTTGGCAAAAATACTGAAAGTACCATGAACCACCAGAGGAACTAACAGATTTGTCCTGGAGGAAGTACAGCGAGAATGCTCCTTGGAAGCATGAATGACCAGATTTCGTCTCACCTACTTTGGTCATGTTGTCAGAAGGGACCATTCCCTGGAGAAGGACATCATGCTTGGTAAAGTGGAGGGTCAGAGAAGAAGGGGAAGGCCCTCAACATGATGGATTGACACAGTGGCTGCAGTGACGGACTCAGGTATAGCAGAGATTGTGAGGCTAGCACAGGACTGGGCAGTGTTTTGTTCTGTGTGTGGGGTCGCTATGAGTTGGAGCCAACTCGATGGCACCTAATAATACCAACAACAGGGCAGAGAGGAGGGGGGAAAGGGGTTACTACTTATGGAGCACTGAGTTACTGTTTACAGTAATGGAAAATTCACATTGATTAAGGCTAAGGGTTGTATAGCTAATGTCATTGATGTCAACAAGTTGTACACCTATTAAAAGTCAAATTGACAAATGTTATGAGATACATATATTTACCAAAAATAAAGCAGATGCTGAGGCCGCTTATATACAAGTAAACACATGGAATTTGATTTCTTGGTTTGGAGGTTTAGGGTCATGATTCCATGGAGCATCCCAGGTATTTGGCCTAGTAAGTGTTTAGTGCCTCAGTTCTACCTCCTAGTTTCTTATATAATACCTGGGGTCTTAAAAGCTTGCAAATGGCCATCTGGGTTACAATAATTGGTCTGTATTTGCTAGAACAACAGAGGAAGGAGGATAGGAGGGGGAAGAATAGGAGGAGGGAATGGAATGTGTAGCTAATTGCCTTCATGAACAACTGCCTCCTTTGGCATGAGACCAGAACTGGATGGTGATGAGCTACTATTACTAAACATTATCATCAAAGATGCCATACAGGAATCCTGATCAAAAGGGGGAAAATGCAGAACAGAATTTCAAAATCACATGGAATCTAGAGTTTCTGGAGCCACTGATGCTA